CCCCCCCCAATCCCCTTTAGGGGTGGGCCATGCCGATGAGCTTGGATACTTATTTAACGTGAAGGTACTTCCTCCAGTTTTACTGCCGGACGAATCACCAGAAATACTAACGCAGCGCAGACTAGTATCGTTATGGGTCAACTTCATCAAAAATGGGTAGGATTGGGATTGTCATCCGTCCCACTGAAGACACAATATCTGATTTTCGTTCTGCAATTTCACAGAGACCCGACGCCTGACCAAGACATCAACTGTGTCCGATGGGAACAAAATTCTCTTGAAAATGACGTTTATTTGGACATTGACTTCAACATCACATTACGGGCTCACATGTTTGAGCAAAGAATGAATTTTTGGAGTGACCTATACCGAAATGTTTTGCAGCAGCCTTTAAGTTGGTGAAGGATATCCATCATATGATGAAGGATTTCCAAGGATCCCATTTCGATAAATCAAATCAAAGTGTGCCCCGAACGCCACCCAATACTCCAATGAGCAACTACTTATTCTTGCTTTTGATTCTTTCTGATAAAAACCGGCAAGATTAGCCACTCTTGATCCATTTGATTCTTGTCCTTGCGGTATAAATTTACCGCGCCTTCTGGAAACAACTATTTTTTCATTAAGTAAAGGCGGCGAAGATCTGAAGATCAAGATGGCGCTACGTTTCCGAAACGTTCGAGCGATCAAACATAAACAAATATACGACCGGTCTGAAAAAAGTACCTGATACTACGAGAAACATGTCGAATCCAAAGAGAACTATTTATGTCGGTTAGTATTACTCCCTGATTGACACTTTTATCATCATGATTTCATGTGTTGCTTAACCGTGGGAAATTTTAACGAGCACCTATCGTGTTTATGCTAGGTTAAAATGCTGCTAAAGTCTTGATTTTGAGCAATAAGTTGATGTTGAAGTACTCTTGTTAATGGAATATTACCTATTTTAAAAATTTATATGGGTGTGCATCTTATTTCTAGTTGCTTAGGTTGCACTTAGTTATTTTCTGATTGTGCCTCATGTGACATTTCTTTTACAGGTGGTCTTGCAGAAGAAGTAGATGAGAAAGTTTTACATGCTGCTTTTATACCGTTTGGTGATATTGTAGATGTTCAAATTCCCCTTGACTATGAATCAGAAAAACACAGGGGTTTTGCTTTTATAGAATTTGAAGCGGCAGAGGATGCTGCAGCAGCTATTGATAACATGGTATGATATTGGTCTTCAAGTTTAAATGTTTGCTCTTCTTTGCCTTCTGAATACCATCCTTTAATTTTATATTTGTGATATAGAATGACTCTGAACTCTTTGGACGAACTATTCGTGTGAATATTGCCAAACCTCAGAGAATCAAAGAAGGGTCCTCTAAACCTGTATGGTCAGATGACAAATGGCTTCAAGAGCATGCAGGGGAAACCCTTGATACAGAACCAGATGATAAAAGCACGAACTCAGCAGATAAAGACAAGGTGAATTCGCTTTTTTTTTCTTCTTTTGGCTTTTGAAGTAATAATCTTTTGACTAGTAGTAAATAGGAACTTTTCTCTTGATTGTCAGCAGAATGAAGCTGGAGAAAAGAAGAAGACCAAAAACCCACAGGTTTACTTTGACATTAAAGCAGGAAAGTCTGAGTTGGGGCGAGTAATTGTGATGTTACGAGCAGATGTTGTTCCCAAAACTGCTGAAAACTTCAGATGTCTTTGCACCCATGAAAAGGGATTTGGATATCAAGGCAGTTCTTTCCATCGTATCATTCCAGGCTTTGTATCCTTTTATAATTTATAGAACACACCATGAGTGCTGAAATTGGTCAAAAGGATTCTGAGGTACAGTTTTCTTGTACATTTTCCTTAACTATTTAAAGATGTGTCAAGGAGGAGATTTCACAAACCACAATGGAACAGGAGGACGGTCCATTTATGGAAAGAAATTTGAAGATGAAAATTTTGATTTGAAACATACAGGACCAGGAACATTATCCATGGCTAATTCTGGTCCAGGAACAAATGGATCTCAGTTTTTCCTCTGCACAGCAAAAACAGACTGGTATTTATTGAAAGAAGAGTTACTGTTTTAAATTGGTTAATTTTGCAACTAATATCTTGTGCCACTTGTTACACAGGCTGGATGGAAAACATGTAGTGTTTGGTCATGTCATCAGTGGTCTGGATGTTTTAAAGAAAATGGAGGTAACATATTTTGACTTCTTAGATTAGACTTATTGGCTTCATTCTGATTTTTACCAACTACTTTTGTTTTCCCACCTCCCACAGAAATATGGAAGTAAAGGCGGAGCAACTACAGAAAAGGTGGTCATTTCAGGCTGTGGAGAATTGTCATAGAAAGGTTTTGATTTCAAATATTAAAAACCATGAATGTATTTTACCTCACACTTATTTTATTTGCAATTTTTAAATTATCCATAATATGTAATATACATTATAATGAAGAATTAGACTGTCAATTTAAATGCCAATCACACTTTTGTCAACAAGATGAAGTGACTGTTACACAATGTAACGAAAAGTTTTTAAGAACTACTTTACCCTGATCTAGAAACAAAATAATCTTTCTCAGGTTGAATCAAGTTAGTAGACCTATCTGGGAGACACAAAGTTCATAGCATCTGTAAAGAAGGCTCTGGCAAAAAATTATGCCATGATAAACTAAGGTAATGACATGTATGAGAACAAAGAGGAATGATGGAAAAGCTGAAAAATGGAAAGTTTCAGTTTCCATGGTAATGCACTTTGCTGCTTCAGTTGCACCCACATTACATGGTAATTAAAAGCACTCCCAAAATGTTATATAGTTTTGCCGGAAAAAGCAACTTTTTTTTTCAGTAACGATGGAATGGTACTACCAAAAGGAGATACAATGCACCAATATTTTAATTTACTTTTATATCTCTCAGTTCATGTCTTTCTTCCTCATCCAACCATAGAAAAATATATCTCAATAGAACAAAACAAACCACACCATCACCCTAGGGAACAGATTAGTAAAATTGACACCAAATATAAATTTTGGCGTCTTCACGGTCTGTTGCGATACCAAGTAGCCGTCATGGAAGGTGGTCAAATTTTAATATTGACCTCATTTCTCTGTTCCCTGGGATACAACACAAAAGAAAACTGATACAAAGTAACTGTGGGTTGATCATGGCCTAAGAACAAAAGCCCAGTACAAAAAACGAAAATGGACATACAACAGTCCAGCAAAATAATAGTCAGAGGATCAGATCAACTACTTGTACTAAATTCGAAATCACAGGAGATAGAATGCCATCCACAACAGTAGAAAGGACATCGGTCTTTCTTTAATTAACAGTTAAAGACCAACCACTGACCAAAGGTCATAGCAAAAAAAAAAAAATACATTTAACAAGAGACAGCAGTTAGATAATACATCAGAATAGTCTTTAACACATAAATATGATAAAACTCAAGGTGAACCATAACAAAATATTCAATAAAAAATTAAAAAAAGGAAACATAGGAATTTTCTTAAAAAGTTCCCTCTCTTAGGAAATTATGTACTTATCACAAATGTCACAAAAATCAACTTTCCCAATAGAAATACAATAACTAAAGAAAAATTCTCAACTTCCAATCTTCATTCAACAAACCTCTACAGATTTTGGCATTACTAGGAGGGAGCTCACGGCTGTCCCAAAGTAGATCACAACTTATGAATGGTAACGTTCTATACATATAAAAGCAAGAATTGCAAATAGATCAATTCTGTTGTAGCTTATAATTCCATATTTGAATGGATGTTTTGTTTTATGTTCAAGCGAGGTTCTTGTGATGTGTTTGAAATCTTGGCATAAAGCCATTTTACCCACCTTCCACATAACATAGAACAGTATGTACGAAATAGAAAAATACCTTTAACAATCACATCGTCGACCTGAGTAACTTCAATGATCCATCTGGGCCTTTTCCCAACAAAATGAAACAAAACACAATAACATGGTCTACTTGACCAGACCTATATATGACTAGCCTCTCAGGAAAAATTCTCAAAGAGTACAACAATAAAAGCCAAATGAAGCATTGTGGTTACTCAGTAACTAATTACACACTTTCTTACCGGCCAATCAACATGCCAAGCAAATCTCAACTGGAGAAAACTAATAATTCAACAGTGAGTAATATGACACCAAGAATGTGCATACAAAACATTGAAGGAGCAACATGTTGAATATTGGATTGTATAGATCATGGGGAGACACACAGCAAGAAAGAGATAAGTAAACCATCATAGCCCATGATCACGTAGCCAAAAGCCAGCTACCAAGCAATTAGTACTTCAAAAAATTACAACAAGAAATTTGTTTTCTTCAAAAACAAGTGGTTAACAAGACATATAGAAATTGACATGTAAAATATACTCAGCCTCATTACTTGCTTCATTACATCTTAAAACGTCTGAAAGCTGAGCATGTTCAGCAGAGCCAGGTAACAAATTGCAAACATAAATAAGTACTCCAAACACAAAAACATCAGAAATGGGCTTAGCGTAAGGCATGGCGTAATGACCACAGCTATGTGTGCAGAATGGTACATTGAACTGCGTTGATTAGAGTAGGAACTTTCCTAAATTTGATGACATCTTACTACAAGAAAGTACTGGTACCTGATAGCTTATTTTTTAAAAAACAGACACTTAAAAATCAATTTTGTTTCAGTCTCATGCAAGGCTAAGTATGCAACAATGTAGAGGAGATTCAGTGAGAGGAAAACTGTATGCAAATGAACATTTCATTCTTGGAGCTGTGCTGATCTTGCACTACTCAGTAAAACCAAGGCACATTAGGTGAAACAACCTGAATAAGTCTTTGATCCTTGGTAAGCTCCAACAAAAACAAGAAACCTCTAAAGTAACATTGTATATTTAAAGTGGTAAAAAAAATTTGCAAGATCAAGATGTTTACCACAAGGTTTTAAAGAGTAAGCAAAATCATCAAGAAGTTACCAACACATGGTACAAAGAGATTTAGGTAGTCAATGTTTCAATCATAAGTTGCTAGAGTACAAGCTTAGCAAAGCAAAAATATGTTCATTGAAACTCGTCATCAGATGACAAGAGCATAGTCTTTTCATTGTGCTGATTCGATATTGTTGCAACCCGTTGAGATGAGGGTTTGTTTCGCTGATTATTCACTTGCCCACCATATGTCGACTTTCCTTGCTGCTCACCAGGTACCTCATCAGGGTCATAACTGTTGATGCGCATTCCGCGAGGGCCATGAGATCCACCTGCAACAAGACAGAGGTAAAATGTTTATTCATGACCAGCAAAGTATGTTTTATATATTGTGATATATGTACTGTGTTTTGTTGTTCAAATCAAACACGGGCAGCACTCAAGCAAATGATAAACAATCATATATAAATATGATAATTGATAAAGAATAGTGGAGCCCATTTTATGAACACTAGTTTTATAATTGAAAATCAAGCGCCACTAGAAGAAAATAATATTTTGGTTTGTGGCACAATGAAGAGCAAAAACATTGTAATGAAGATAGTGGTATTTTATTGACATGTGTATAATAAGGAAAGGCACTTCAAAACATAAAAAAGAATTAAAACTAACGATTCACAGAGTTCATCACAATCAAGTACATACGAAGACAAAATACTTCTCCCTGAACATTATTAACATGCAGAAATCTAGAACAAGCATAGCTACCTATTATAGTTATGCTACAATGCAAGATCCTTTAAATTTCAATTGCCACTCTCATTATTTACTTGCGGTAAAATTTTGCATCATAACCAGAAACTTAGATAATACAAATGGTAAAATGAATACCTTGGCCTTGGCAAATGGATAGGTAGAGGAGTTTTAAGGTATAGGACTGATGGTCCATCAACATCTTACAAAATCGTAATTGTCTTTTAAAACATAAAACATCACTTCAAACTTTACGTTTCTTTGAAAGAAACAAAAAAAAAAAAGAAAAAAACAACCTTGCTTGCTACAATTAAAAGAACACCAGACACACAATGCCATTCACAAAATCTACTTTCTCTATGTCAACAGAACATGCTGGTCATGCACACAGAAGTAGCTAGCACCAATTAAAATTTTATTAGGAATATAAGAGCCGCTGGGAATCTGACACCTTATAGACAAGTCTTTAGACAGCAAAAGCCACACTATTCAAATTCACAATATACAGTATTCTATCCGGCTTTACAGAACAGAACTTAGAAGCACATTACACAATTAAGTAGAAGAGTCAAGGCTCAAAATGCAAAAAGGAATGCACATTCAATGCCCCACATAAGCCACTCCTTTCTTTTGTAAAATTCTCCTAAGCAAAAACTTTAAGTATAGGGAAGATATTACAACACATCTAGCTCTTGTTCTTCCCCACTTTCTCATCAGGCCTCAGAGGAAAATAGTTTGCCAACAAGAAAGAACTTATACGGGTAATGTAAATACCGTACAATATATGTATATAAGTGCTGCTTCTAGGGCCCCGACATTTTCAATTTAGTAAAATGTCAGGTGTAAAAATAGAAATACAATTTGTAACCAACCCGTTTCCTTCCCAAGTTAAGTACAATAGTTAAGAACGTAAAAAATTAAAGCTGTAATTAAACAACTACTTTCTAGTAGTAGTGACATGTAATTAAGTCACTGGCTAAAACTTGATCAATTGCTTTGTTTTCAACCAAAACTTGTGAGCAATTTTAGTGGCATTTCTTTCCAGTCACCCTTCAGGCATTAATACGTACTAAAAACTTGGTGAAATGTCAGCTGCATTCATGGTCAAATATGTTTAATACTTTAGTCATTACAAAATGGTAACTTGATTTATTTTTAGTTAATGGAATAAAAAATGAATCTTTGTCAAAACAATACAGTACCTTTGATTAAAAGAAAAATGACATCCCTTCAGCAAACCCTGGTTTTGATAAACATGTGACTTAATGAATTTCTCACAATGCAAATAAAATGTTTCATCTCTATTAAAAACAGCTGAATTGGTACTCTCAAACTTCAAGATGACAAAAAACATAAAATAAATAATTAAAAAAACAAGTAGTTAAAAGGGGAAATCCAGCTTCGGTCCACTAAGAGAACAGAGGATGCTGACAGTGATGCCATTAAGTACGGTTCAATTAAGCTAAATACTGCTAACTAAATCTAACAAGAAAAAATAGTATCTTTCTCTTCACAAGTAACATCAAATATTAATGACACATTTCCTTGAATGTGTAAGTGAAAGCAAACTGAAGATTTCAGGGGTGGTCAAGATTACCTCAATCAATATGAAAAAAATTAAATACTGGTAAAATTTATAAAATCTTTTTAAAAACACAGAACTAGATAATAAATTCGTTGACGCCTCCTGTGAGGTAGTTAAAATAGGCTCCTCTATAAATATGATGGCAAATATAAAGGCCCTCAAAGCTATGTTATTAGCTGAAGATATGATCCCCTGTAGTCATGCAAGACGCAAATGTGGTCGCGGCCGCAAGCAGATATAGCTTAAAGCTTTTCATACGATTGACTTGAATTCAACTCTGCAAAAGAAAAACAGAATACATGAAGGAAAAATATGAAAAGATAGGCAAAAACAAATAAAACTTCTGCAGCAAATGCAAAGAGGCGGCAAATATAAAAATCAGAGACATCCTGGTATATTACCAATTAACTTCTAAGCAGTGATAACTATATTGCAGGTAGTTTGACACTGTCCTTTCTAATACGAAAGTTTAAGGCAAAAGACACATTAAAATGCATGCAATAGACTAAGCCTGCGCATAAATAACAGGGACAAAGCAAAAAGACTACTACTGAAATTCTGTCCTAGTCGACACATGGTGAAATTTAAAATCAAATAACTTGCTACCAAAAATCAATTCTATTAACAAAAGGGAAAACAGAATTCAAGAAAGTTTTAGCACATTTCCTTTAAAAGTGTTTGAACTTTTATCTAGTTACCACCAGGCAACATGCTCTATAATAACAAAGAACATGTGTGATGAGCATTATGTACAGAAATATGAAATACATCCCATCTCACACCGGTTGTGATAGAGTAGAAATGGGCAGATATTAAATAAGGTGGGATAGTTTGAAATATTTTGTCAACAATTGGGACCACATTTGATGCTTACCCGTTAGGGCTGGTATTCTCCATGATGAGCGGACCTTTTCTTACCAACAACCCAAAATACTACTTCAAAGGATTTTCCCTAGCATAGCTATTCTGGCATACATTTACATTTTACCGGGGTTGAATTGATTTCACAAGCACATTCATTTTTCTTGTAAGTTGACTGGTTAGTTTTAGAATTTGTTGAGAGTGACTTTTGCTGAAAGTTTGTGAAGACTACAGCGAACGATAAGCTTACTCACCGGAACTGTATTGTGTGTACTGTTGGTACTGCGGATGGAAATTGTGGATAGCGTCAGTCATGATGTCTTTTGGATTCATTGTTTCCTGTGCACAAGAGCATGAAAGTTAAATGATGACTGACACAATTGTGAAGGAAAAAAGAAGATGAGATGTAATGTGATGGATACCTTTAAACTGCTTGAAATGCTTTGCATTGTCACTGAACGGCCTCTACCATCACTAATGCAACCAGCATAGATGTGATATGGGAAGGCATACCTCAAGGCTACAGCAGCAGCCAACATTTCTAAGCAAATGAGGAAGTTTTGATAGCCTGCTGACACTGTACCAGCTTTGATGTGCTGTACATCTCCGGCAATAATTGGGGATATTACTTCTGCCTTCTCCAAAACAGCTAAGAGCACACCTACAGCAGTGAAGTATGTTACAGTATGAGTAACCATGCAACAGCAAGCATTTTTTTTTTTTTTTTTTTTTTTTTTATTATATCATATTTCAGTCAGACTACAAATAAGTTTTGCTTACCTTGCCAGAATGAAAAGAAAATGACTGATTTGACAGTGCAAAACTTCAGTACAGGCTCAAATGGAGTCAAGAGATCACGAGTGGCAAAATAGAATAAGAACAAGCCATAGAGAGCAAGACTGACTGAAATGTTGTAGATGATAGTGACATACAGGTACCCGCCGTCAGGACTGAAAAAATAGATGCAAAGTGTTTCAATAAAACAAGACTTAAGTTGACAGTTAAAATCATTAACAGTGTGTACAGTTGAAGTCTGTGGATGAGTATAAGCTCACCTCCAATCACCATCATGGAAATGACCAAAGGATTGTAGAATGATAATGACAAATGCCATTAGTGGTTTGACAAGACAGAATTGTAATGTAGCTTGTTTACAAAAACGAAGGAAGCCAATGGTGTAAGTTTTCCCAACCAAACAACACGTGCCATAAAGCAGGCTTGATCTGGGTGCAAAAATATCAAGTTAGACATAAATAAATACTTAAAGCATAATCTTCATAAGTTTCTATTGCACAATATTCGTACCTAATTGGCTTTCCTCTTATTTCACTCATTATATTACCTTCACCTCCAAGATATTCATAACATAGGCTCAGAAAATTATAAATGACAAACGCTGTAAAAAAGAGAGGAGATATAATGACAGTTTACGATTTACTAACAAATTATAAATCAAACTTACAAAAAAAAGTACACTAATACCTTCATAGCAGTCTCGGATGGTGAAAAAGTAAACATAATAGCTCTCAGAGTTGAAAAACAACAAGCTGACCCATGAATGAAGGGCATATATTGGTACAATGAACAGAATTCTAACAATCCATCGCTGTTCAGCTGGGTTTGTGTACCATCGCAAGTGCCGATAGATCTATAAAAATAAATAGCTGTTTAAATCTATACCCTTTAAGAAGGAGGTTAAATGCAAAGGGCCAGTAAAGAAAAGAATAGACGGAAAACGGGCACGGGGACATTGAAAATTGCGAAATGAATGATAGTTGTAGAGCTACAGCCACACATTCAAGGGGTTAAGTTTTTGATTGCTGCAATTTCACAAATATCTTGTGAGCAACTAAATACAAAATTTTGTAGCCTTTGGAGTGAGAGATACATTAACTAGGTTCATAGATGTAGGCGTTCCACAGGGAAGTTTAAGTGCAAGGTCAAGTGCACAAAAGATGGCATTGGGGTCAATGTCCCATTTAACATACACAGATCACAACCACTTTACCTGTTGGCACGTAAGAAACAGGGCAATAAACACAAACACTCCAGCAATGACCTGCGCAGCTTTCGTCTGCAGGAATATAGGAGGTGTTTGCACAGCAGTTGCTGGGCTAGGGTGTGCTGGAGGTGTTGCAGAGTTGCCCATCACAGCAGCAGTGGCATTTAGGGCCAATCCACTAGCCAGCGTGCTGACCGTGGAGACCAGGCTAGACGTGGAGGTGGACGACGGCGTGGAGACACCCATGACTGAACTATGCGTCAGCGTTGGCGTTGTACTAGATTGCGGGCCAACTTCTCATGTTGTTATCAACAGCTGGGCTGGATTAGCACCCCAATCCGTTGTCTTGTTTACGTCTGCTTAACCCGCTGACCCTCTTTAACAGATTTAGTACCGTTGGGATCGAAAGAAAATCAAATGCGGGTAACCATTATGAAAGGAGAGCTAACAAACTACAAGAATTGCTGGGAATTTAGCACACAGAATATGTCATAGGCCTCTGCCACACTTTTTTATCACTTTTTATCAAAACGTTCTAAGACTCGACTCCGTATGGTCAATCACTATCCCACAAAGGTACTTATTAAGGACAAAGTATACTTAAAACTGACCAAAAATTAACCATAATACCTAAAACAGGATAATATGCAGTAGAATGGAGCTTATCGTGTTCAGACCTCAGAAATCTGAAGAGAATTGTCACCAAGATACACTTCACTTGACTTCTGCTGTTGTTGTGGTTGTGAATCTTTCCTCCGAGTTGAGTTGGCTATGGAGTGATGGAGTGTATGCTGCGACCAGACTTCTTACAATTAAAAAAGAATGAATTGGAGAGGTGAAGACTGAAATGTTTATTAAAACTAACGTTTTAAAATTTTAATAATGATAGGCCTCATATTTTTAACGCCATGTTGGACCGAATCGAGGAAATGTTCTCGAAAACAAAAAACTAAACAGAAGACTCTCGTACCAAGCGCGAGTTTTAAAATTTTCGTGAAACATAATTGCCGCAAGAGGTTGCTTTTCTTTCTTTTAAAACTCACTTGTTTTTTTTCGGAGAAAAGTTCACGTTAGGCGTGTAAAAAGTAAAAGGTGACGTGCGGAAGGCTTCTCATAATAATAGCGCCTGCAAAGCGCTGGGTAGGCAAACCATCAAGCAGCTGTGTGGAGCCGTCGGCCCGCCCAGCGTCACCGGCGGCGTGGCGTGGTGGGTGGCAGGGTGCCTAGAGAGACTAGAAGTCTCTCTAAGGGCAAGGGTGCCCGACGGACCTAACGTCCCTAGTTGCTCTCGCTTTACCTCAGGAACCGTTAATTGCAAGCCAATTTATAATTGATCACGATACATACTGCTTGTGCGATGGGAAAGAGCCAAGCGCGCGCGCTTAACGGCTGTTAAGCGGGACGTCCCTGTACAGGGAACGACCACCACACATAATTTACTTCCTTTATTTAGGACCCGTCCCCCCCCCCCAATCTCAAAAAAGTCAATCCAACACTTAACTAAACAACAAGCTAAAAAGCCATACCTGGAAGGTACGCAATTTTCGGAACACAAGTACGAACCTGCAGGAAAGCAAGCCATGGAGCCCCCCCCCCCCCCCCAGGCACTGCGAATGTGATGCAAAGGGGTGGGGCGCCGGGTGTTACGTGCGCTTGAACGTTACGTAACGGCGGTGCGCTGGTGTGAGTGGAGGCCGGGAGTACTCCTTTCTCTGTCACACTCAAGCATATTCATTAGTCATAGTGAGACATACGGCTTGTCTGTAACGTGCCACCCGGCTTTCCTGCGAACACGCCTCCGCGCGATTCTGCGCGTAAAATTTTTACTCCAGCAGACGAGTTGCACACCGTTGCAGACGACGCGGTGACAGACGACTCTGCACTGGCGTCTCGTCATCAGCGCGGGGGTCAGCGTCAAGCGCCCGGACGGTCCAAGTGACGGACGGGTGTCAAGACGTCACCATGACGTCCAATGTGGGCATGGGGATGCTGTACCGACGCTTCTTTGACGCTTACAAGAAGAAGGACCCCACCGTGCCCCCTCTGACAGCTGCCGCGGAGGCCACCGAAGAGTGGACTCGGGTGCGCGCCGAGCACCAAGACCAGGCCATCTTCGAAGAGTCGATTAACCGTCGAATCGAGGCTTATATGGCAGAAGCGAACAGCAACACCAGCAACGGGGGAGGAAGAAGCACCAGAAGTCTTTCAGGAACAAGGGTAAGTATCACCTTACTCAAGTTGTGACTTGAACTGAATGCCAGTTGGAATACACTTAACCTCTAATCGGTTTTGGCTGCTGTCAAAATATCAAAGAAAATCTTCTATATCTATGTCTTCTTACTAACTACCTTTAGCAACATAGCTGCCAGTTAAATAATTTTTTATTAATTCTGCTGTTGTTTCACTTCTATTATACTTCCAAGTTTTAATGGAACAAACAACAAAAAAAACAAACCAAAACAAACATGTTTACTAATTTGTTGCCTCTCTCTGTCTACAGATTCCGAGTAACTCCATTGTTAGTACAAGTCCTGAATATGGAGACTGCAATAATCTTTTGGATGAAGAGAAATGTTCCAGTGAGGATGAACTCAACATCCATGGGAAGAGAAAATACACCAAGCCGTCCCAAGAAACCTCCCTGAAAAGAATTTATGCCCTTGAAGCAGAACTAAATAATCTGAATCAACGAAAAGAAGCAAGTAGTGCTGATGATGAGCTAGAAAGCAAAATTAGAATGGTCAAAATGGAACTTGATGAAGAGAGAAAAGCACTCAGTAAAAAAGAACGCAATGCCCAGAGACAGAAAAAATTCAGAGAAACATTCAAGACCAAAATAAAGGCAGCTTGTGCAGAAAACCCAGGAATGGCTGTAAAACTTAAAATTCGGGACGGGCCTGGACGTCCTAGATTGGAAGAGAACCAACCTGAACTTCTGAAAGCCATAGTAGATATTGCTGTGTCTGGGAAGTCAGAGGAAGAGAAACACAAATCTGACAAAATAAGAAGTTGCAAGACCTTGGACTCACTTCATCAAGAACTACTAAAAGCAGGATTTTCTATCTCCAGGAGTGCTACATATTTACGTTTACAGCCCCAAAATGCAAACACCCGAGAGGGTAAAAGACATGTAGCCACAGTACCAGTCACTTTAAACGACACCAAAGAAGTGCAGAAAGGCCACCCTGATCAAGAGTTTTGTGCTGCCACTCTGAACTTCTTGGATTCTCTTGCCTCCTTACTAGGACCCCAGGAAGTTTTCTATCTAACTCAAGACTGTAGAGCAAGAGTATCCCTGGGAATGACTGCCCCATGCAAACAAGCACCACTTTTGATGCGAATGGAGTACAATGTGTGCTTTCCTGATACTCAATCTCTTCTTGCCGACCAACAAAAGTTAATCCCCTCTATATATGGAGGTATAGTTATAAATAGTCAGAGTATGGGTGATGCCCAGGCTGTTCAATTTTCTGGACCTACTTATGTTGCCATAAGGTCAGGAAGTCAAGAAACACCTGCAGCAGATGCACATGCCTCTGATTTTGACAGACTTTTACATTTAGAGGCTTTCCGCAGCATGGCCAAGAATGATCACGGAGCTGTAAAGCCAGTAATAATTTTAGCAATTAATGGTGGACCTGATGAGAGTGCTCGTTATGCAAAACAGATTTCACGTGCTATCAAACATTTCAGAGAGTATGACCTAGATGCTTTATTTCTTGTCAATGATGCACCAGGGCAGAATGGACAAAATCGTACTGAAAGGCGATTAGCCTCTCTTAGTCAACAACTGACAGATCTTGTCATTCCCCATGATCGATGTGGAAGCCATTTGGATGATGAAGGTCGATCTGTCAATAAAGAATTAGAAATGGAAAACTTCATTGGTGCAAGTAGAATCTTGGCTGAGGTATGGAACTCGACTGTAATAGATGGTCATGTGGTATTAGCAGAACAAATCTCAGGCCCTCAGTGGATCACTCGGATAGAAGAAAATGCAGACTGGTATTGTCGACATGTAAGGGAATCTCAATACCTCCTTCAAATTGTGAAGTGTGGTAATCCAGATTGTTGTGGTATGCTCAGAAGTAGCTTACGTTGTATTTTGCCTGAAGGTTTTCTTCCTCCTCCTTGCAAATTGTGGCAAAGCTCCTCTGGTTTGGTAGCAACTGAAAGGGGGAGCCATGCCAAATTTTGCCCTCTATTTCTTCGCCTGTCACTGCAAATAAATCCATCTCAAAAGAATTTTGTAAAAACACCATATGATTATTTCTGTCCTACTGTATTGCCTCATCTAGCTGATAGAACATGTTCAATGTGTGGATTGTATTTTACTTCCAAAAAGGGTGTTGTGAAGCATAAAGAGCTTGTTCATGGAATGTTCTCAGAGCCTTTGTCTAAAATACAACCCGCTTGTGTTCTGGCCAGAAGAGGAAAAGAATTGTTGTGTCTCTTTCGTGATGAACCCTCAGGGGCAGAAGATGCAGAATGGCTTGATGAAGATGAGGTTGACACTGATGTAAAATTAACCTTAGAGACTGAGACAACTTCACATATACCTATTGTAGGATCGGCAGTGGACTGGCTCTCTAGTCCTTGGACCAATTTCATCTAATCGTGAAGGACATTATATTATATTAAGTTTTGTATTTTCGTTTACCTTTTAAAATACTGCCAATCATTGTGTTTTGTTATAAATATGGACTTTCTTGATGTTTGTAGTCCTCTCATATTGATTTTAAATGCATTGTTTTACTTGTTTTTAGTTATATATTTTTTGTTACTATTACCTCATAATGAAAAGGTACTTTTATTAAGAATATTACTAGTTATTGAAGTTTATAACAAACTTAAGTGGACCTCAAAAGCATATGTGGTGATTCTGGTTGACTGTACAAGTTTTGACCTGAAATTTGTTAATGATGGGATTGATGAGAGAATTAAAGCACTGTTGAAACTTGTATTCTTCATTATGTTTCTTCTTGCTGACCCTTCCTTTTTCCATGTGTTTTCCTCAAACAATTTCAAGATTTCATTTCAGTCTTGCTCTAATTCTTTTAATGTTTAGTCTTACCGCCATTTGCGGCAAAGGCGGAAAACGAATATTCTCATACCCTACCAGGCTTAGATTCCTTGTTTCCGGTATCCATCTCCGCCAAACAGTTTTCTTTGCAAATCGCAAGTTCAATATGGCGACGATTTGTGTAAATCACTTGTTCGAAATGTAATCAAAATCCTCACCTCAAATATTGAACCAGTTTTGAGATTAATAGGGCTACTATTTGCTTGTCACTGTGTTTTCGTTTCCTTGACTTCCTCTTTTTAAGTTTTCGTTACATGTTTAGCCGTTTGTCTCCCTTGTCACTCTTAATTTAACCAAGCCGCCTTTGTTTTTGTTTCTGCGCTGTTTTCTGACGGCCTAGAGGATATGGAGTATCTTGTGTGAATGGATGTGAATGATTTTACCTGGTTCTGTGACATTTGTTTATACACCATCAACAAGTAAGAGTGAAGACTCTATTGTCATACCTTTGCTCCAGTTCCAGCCTAAAATATTCTTGAGACTTTCTGAAAAAGATAGATATATATTTCCCTCTGTACTATCTTCTTTTATTTGGAACTTCAAACCTCCAACAGCTTTTTCCACTATGGAACCAAAATTCGGCCGTTAAAATAATGAAGAATTGTACGTCAGACATCACTTACCATCAGTTTCTTAAAAGTTGACAGAAGTTTCATAAAATGTGATGTCTTGCCCCTGACTTGAGGGAAGGGTGCTACTACCCTCCCATTGACTCCTGCTCATTATTGGAGCAGGCCTTAAAGTTACTTAAGAACCTTTTTAATGGCAAGAGGAAGAAGGCGTTCTAAAAAGCAGCAGCATGCAACAATTCATCTTGGAGGGGAAGGGTTGAGCCCAAAGCCTGTCCTCAATGCGACGTCCAAAGATAAAAGGCAGGACAAAACTGCTGCAAAAGGAACGATGGAGCCTGTAATCTGTCTGAAAGGATCTAATAACACCTTAAATGGAAATCACGAGGGTAAGAATATCGTCAGTTAGCCGTTCTTTAGCAGTAGCTTCCGGCATTGTGCTTCAGGGTTACACACTTTTGTAAGCCAGTTTGTCAAGTATATGGTATACTATATGACATGAATGCAATGTACCTGTCATATCTACTGTGCTATTAGTTTTGTTTAAAGTTTATTTGTGTGTTCACACAGATGCTCAATGCAACAATGATAAAAGACATCAAACTTGCCCACCAAATGATGCATCTAATCATTCTGAATGCAATGGCTTCAGTGGTTCCTACCTACCAAACGATATGGAAGGACTTACTGGTTCTACAGTCCCTATACATGGATCTCCCAAGCTTAATAGTCCATCGGATTCAAATCAAATGAGGGTGGACGTTTCAACACATACATCTATCTCATATCCAAATGGCTGTCAAGCCATGTGTGATTATTGTGCGATCCCTTTTGAAAGCGAACATGATCTTCAAGTGCACTGTCAGACTGAAGCCCATCAAATTGTTGTAATGTCAGATGGAGAGAGGGAATGGAAGTAAGTATTGCCAGAAAATTATTCTTCATCATCGATGTTCAGTATTTTTTATGTGTCTTTGTAACCCCTTACCCTCTGGTGAAGCATTTTAAAATTTATTTTGTAGTTGGGCAATTCAAACCATGTTAGCAATCAGAGCTCCACAACTAATTACTCACCTGCCTTAAGCGTTGTTTTAATGGTGAATGTTAAAACTTGTATCTTTTACTACCTTTTGGTAATAAGTTGGTTATTTTTATCTGTCTTGTCCAACTTTTCTCCCTAGCACCCACAATAAATATTGGTCATATTTCAAAATTCATTACTTTTACTTAAACATGTATTTTGTAACGTTGAGTAACTAATGTTTGTTTGTGTCATGTTAAGTTACGGAGCCCTGTCAACAATGTTGTTCTAATTATCTCCTCAAGGTATCGACCTCCTCCTCGAGGCTTCATGGCTGGAAGCTACACACTTTGTGAAAATTGGGATAAAACCTGTAGGTATGGTGCACAATGTGTCGAAGCCCACAGCACTGAAGAGCTTCAAGAATGGCGCAAGAGATATGAATATCGCCATGATAAGATTCAAAAGGCAGAACAACAAAATTTCCTTAAAAAATCATACACTGAATGTTTGCTTGACAAGTATGTAGAAAAATGAAAATTCTTTTCAATTATATCTATGTACAAATGTTGGAACTCTACTAATAATTTCATTTCTAGGTGGTCACATTCTTCAAACCCTGACTGTATTCTGAAAGAAAAAGTAGATTATGCTGAAGATTCTATTGCTGAAAACCAACTAACAACTACTGTATCCAAGGACTCTAGGACAGATTGGATCTTTTTAGTAAAAACGTCCAAGATTCTGCGAGCTGTTGCATTGTTACAATATGCAGATAGAAACAAATTTTCAATCAAGTGTGTACTGTACCTACAGTTTTCTCCTTTCTCCTCCTTTTCTCCTCTTCTTCCTCTCATTTAATTGTATTTTATTATTGCATTATAGGTGTGTCAAAAGTGTTGTGACAGGCCACCATAAAGAATGGAAACCAGAAAACACTGATGAATGGCTCTTGTCTGAGACAGATAGTTGTAATTTGGAGAGTCTCCAAAAGACCAAGTCCCATTTGGAATTCAAACATTCAATTTGTGTTGAATTTTTCTCTGATATTTATGGAACTTTTCGTCAGGCTGTGGCATTTGATTTTGGTGTTGAACCTTTGATGGTTAAACATTTATGTGTGGATGTCCGACCTGCTTCTTTTGCAACCAATGTTGAAGAGCTGAAAAAGGTAAATTTAAATCTCGCTCAGATGAGTAAGCTTTTTATTTGCCGTATAAAATTTGAAGAAATTAAAATCCCAGCAATTTATTTATCCATCTATCTTTACAATAATTATTTATTCAGGAGCTTTTTATGGAAGAAAGATGGGACGAAAACAATGCAGAAATCATTAAGTTTTCAATGGTTAATTATGAAACCGGTCAGGTTTTCTTTAACGAAACAGAAGAACTGGTAAAACAGTATCCCACTCCTACCCCATCTACTTTCACCCTTACTCAGTCGACTGTCACTGAAAGGATGATAACAAAAAATAATTACTGCTCCCGAATGCATGAACTTCTTGGTGTTGAGGAAATGGCTCGTTACCAACAGGTAATTATAGATGAAAGTAGCTCTATGGTGTACTGGTAGTTATTATGTGTAAACATTCTTCATAATGATACTTTTCCAGGTTGCTCGATACAATGTAAGGTCAAAGCTCAACATAACAAAGTCATATCTTTTAGCACCAGCTGGTACAGCTCATAGTACGGCAAAGTTTGCTCAAAATGATGAAATGTATGCTGTAATGAACCTTAGCCAAGCAATATCTGAAGATACTGCTGCAGGGCGGCTTATTTTAAATAATTGCACAAGTGTGTTGCTGTGTGCTGCAGGTACCTATTTGAATGCTTTAACTCAGTATTGAGTATGAGATTAGCACATTTTCTATTTGTTACTTTTCCTTTCAAAGATCCACCGGAGAAAACTACCAAATCTGTACCAAACAAACAAGCAACTGAAACTCCAAAAAAGAGAAAGGTCTTTGAAGCACTAATCGAGGATAAGGGGAAGAATGTGATCTATCTTAAGTTATCATCAGATACTGTAGCGGAATATAAGATCACCGGGGGAATGGTTTTTTATGCCGAAGTGCAGTTTCAATTAAATCGCTTGCAGTACTGTGAGTGGCACCATGCTGTAGACAGCATTGAAGACTATAAAATTTTATTTCCTGAAACTTTTCTTGAACCTGATATACCATGGACTCCTCAAAGGTATACATTTTATAGCACTGTCTGCAGTTGTCAAACTGAAAGTTGGCTGTGTTTTTGCTTAAACTTTGTATTATGATGTTACAGGCAATGGAAAGAAATAAAAGAGACAAAGTTAAATGTTAAACAAAAGGAGGCAATTGTGGCAATAACCACTCCATTAAGCATCAAACTTCCTCCTGTTCTAATTATAGGTAGGATGCTTCATTCTATTGTTTTATATCTTTATTGGCCATATCAAGTTTTTTTTATCTACCTGTAATTTATTAATATAACCCCTAAATTTTATTAGGACCTTTTGGCACTGGAAAAACCTATACACTGGCTCAGGCAATAAAACAGCTATTGACAGTGCCGGAATACCGCATTCTCGTGTGTACTCATTCCAACTCTGCTGCTGATATATACATTCAGGACTATCTCCATCCTTACGTATTGAGTGGTCATGAAGCTGCACGTCCTCTTCGAATTTATTATCACAAGCGCTGGGTGTCCACAGTTCAGCCAATTGTGCAAAAGGTTTAAAACGCTCACTCATTAACTATCTGTTTAATTTCTTTTGCTTTTTTTAAATATGTTTTCATTCTATTCATCGCATTTTAAACCACTTTTAACTATTTTGTTACAGTACTGTCTTATTGAAACTAATAATGGTATGAGACATTTCAAAGTGCCATCTAAAGAGGATGTGGAGAAGCACAGAGTCATAGTAGTTACCTTAAATATGTCTATGGTGCTAGCAACACTTAAACTTAACAAAGGTAAAATATACTTTTATAAGGTGTTAACTCATTTTTATGCTGGTGGATTGACTCACTTAACTCATTAACAAAATCTGGTTCACAGGCTTTTTTACGCACATTTTGTTGGATGAAGCTGCCCAAGCAATGGAATGTGAAGCCATAATGCCTCTGGCTGTCGCTGGAGAGAAAACTCGCATAGTTCTGGCTGGAGATCACATGCAACTGAATCCTGAACTGTTTTCTCCATTTGCTAAGGAACGAAATTTGCAGATGTCGCTACTAGAAAGGCTTTATGATCATTATCCTACTTCATTTCCTTGCAAAATACTGCTCACTGAGAATTATCGTGCACATGAAGCAATTATCAAGGTTGGACAATTTTAAAACAAATGTTACAGAAGATATATTTCTGCTTTTCCTCTAATATACTAACTAAAGCTTATTTTGATTTTTTTCTTTCAGTTCACTTCAGATCTTTTTTATGACCAGAAGCTTGTAAGTAGTGGTCGACAACCAAGACATCCCCGGTACTTTCCTCTGACTTTTTATTCATGCCGTGGAGAGGATGTCCAAGAAACAAATTCAACGGGTCATTATAACCTTGCCGAAGTAAAATATTGTTTCTTTATCTAATTTGTGATTTAATACTTTGCCCATGGTTCTGAATTTACACATCCACCTAGGATGCAAATATTAATGTGTCTATTTGGTTGGAACTTTCAGGTCTACGAAATAGCTGAGAGAGTTACTGAATTAAGGCAATCATGGCCTAAAGAGTGGGGTGAACTAAATGACCAAAGTATTGGAATTATGACTCCATATGCTGATCAAGTGTTTCGTATTCGCTGTGAACTGAGAAGAAAGAGACTTGGTGGAATTTCTGTTGAACGTGTCTTGAATGTGCAAGGTATGTATCTAGCGTACTAGTTGCCAGGTAACTAAAGTATTAGTACTCTCATTGCATATAATGGTCACAAATAACATTTCAGGCAAGCAATTTCGTGCAATTTTAATTAGCACAGTGAGAACACGCCGCACTTGCACCTCAGGTGTGAAAAGCAGTGGCAATGAAGACAGTGAATATGGTTTCTTATCAAATTCCAAACTGCTAAATACAGCTATAACACGGGCTCAGTCCCTTGTAGCTGTTGTTGGAGATCCTATAGCTCTTTGTTCTCTTGGAAGATGCAGGTTTGTTTCATCTTCTAATGGAGTGTTTTTGAAATGTCTAAGTTTCTAACTACCTTCATTTTAAACTTTTGCTATTTTTTATTTCTACAGGAAAGTATGGGAACGTTACATACAGATATGTGATGAAAATCAAAGTCTCTTTGGAATTCCTTGGTCGACAATACAAGCTCATTTGGATGGTGTAGAGTTCAAGCCAAACTATGGGTTAAATCCTTTGGCGCCAGAGTTTATTCCAATGGGCACTGCTTCACAGAGCTGTAGGAGGAATCAAACATTTAATAATAGAGCTGGTATGTAAAATCAATCTCAATCTAGAAACGAGAAGGCTTTGCTTTGATTTAAATATTTATATTACTCAACTCTTCTCAGGTAATGATGCATTTGTTTTCAACGGATTTCAATCACACATGAGCTATTTTGATCAATCTTCACCTGAGCAGTGTCCACCTGCTCTCCCATATCAGCCACCTTGGTATGGTCCAGGATCAGCTCCAATGTCACCTCATGTGGAAGGAAATGCATATCAAAATGTGTACCAGCCCGCACACATTACTAGCACTTCCCAGCAGCTGTGTGGAATGTACCAAGTCCCCCAACAGACAGCACAGCCATGGTCTGTGCAACCTGACCCTCAATTCAGATCCGTAGTGATGCAGAATCAGGCGCAACAACCTCATGCATATCTCATCGGGACCTGCAAATTACAATCTAATCCTGATATGATGCAGTCTGCTTCTTCTGTGTGCAGCCCAAATGGCTCTGTTCACTTTATACCACAATCTGCCAGGTTATGGCCAGGTCCTAATAATCATGTAATTCCTGGAGGTGTGTCCATTCCAGCCAATATAAATCCTAAACCCTATGACACAGCAGTAGGTGGGAAACTGGTTGTTCAAGGTGCAGTAGACATTCCAGGTATTGAGTTTCTGGGGAATGGCCTTAGGGTTGGTAAAGTCAATGGGATAATGGTGAACCCTGGAATGTCTGGTGTCAACCCAGGTGGAACGTCTAATATACCTATCCAATCTCTGCCAAGCAACTCTGTAGAGGTGAGATGAAATTCCATGTTTCCACTGATAGATACATATTTGTACACCTAACTGTTTTTTTTACTAAAATCCTTTTTATTGTTTTTAGTGTGCTCCTTATCCAACGCAACATATTGTGCAGTCTCCACAGTTGCTCGCCCAAGGACCTAGTCAGTTATATTTGGGTGCAAGACACTCAACTTTCTCATCTCATGCCCATTTCGCACAGCAGCATCAGCAACAAGCCTTATTGCAACAACTCTCTCAAGTTCAAAACCAGGCAATGCAGAGCCCTGCATCTACAAATCAGAACTCATCATGTCATCAACTTGTGCCTAACAGCCTATTGCAGCAACCACTTGCTCAAAATATCCAACCACAAAACTTGACTATTCAAAATTCTCATGTTCTTCAGCAGCACCAGCAATTGCTACATCAGCAACAACTCCAACAGGTACACCATCAGCAATTACAACAGCAGCAGTTGCAGCAATTGCAAGCACAGCAGCAGCATTTACAACAGGCTCAGCATCAGCAACTGCAACAAGGACAGCAAATACAGCAGTTGGTTCAATTTCAACAGCCTCAACTTACACCGTATGAACAGCTTAGATTACAACAGGAGTGGCAACAGCACCAGCAAATGGCTTTAATGGCTGAACAAAGAAAACAGCTACTTGGTCACATTCTTACACCTCTTGTGAATTGTAACAATGATTGGAACAAACTGATACCAAGAGGAGTTAATCTTCTTGATATGGTGGACAACAAAGGTCAGCAAGAAGCTTGGTTTGATCACATGATGAAACATGGCCAAGCTGCTCTAGCTAGAAGGTACAGGATACAGCAACTTTTTAAAGAAGTACTGGTTCTGTTTAACATTGACAATTTTTAACTACTCAAACCTTTACTTTACAGATTTACATATTTTATGGGATTATGTTATCGTGCAATCACTGGTGTACTGGCTCAGCAAAAACCACCACTCCCAAAATTTTTAGATAGAACTCAAACACTTGAACAGAATGAAGATGATACCTTGAATTCTGAACAGGTAAGAAAAAAGAATATTCTTGTTACTGTTAATCCTGGATATTTTGAGAAAGATTTTGATTGAATCTAATCATTAATACTTAAAACTCTCTGAAATGTGTCAATAGAGCATCGAAGGAGCTGCTTCAAACAATCTCCCTGAACCTGGAAACCTTCACAATTCAAATGAGCCTAAAGCAAGTGCTGAGCCTGATAAAGATTCAGACGAACCTGTGATAATGATGAAGGACCTGGACCCAAAGTATATGCTAGGTCAGTTTCATATTATCTTAATCCATTTTTTTCCCTCATATGACTTATGTGACAATCTATATTTTCTGCATTATTATTTCCTTCTTATGTGGATAAATTGTTGATAATTAATTAAACTTGTTATTATAGGAAGTGATCCATTCCTAAATGGAGGGAGGTCTGTATGGGCCATTGCACAAGATGAACTAGCCCATTGCAGCCGCAATAACTCCGGTGTTAAAAGTCACAGTAAATCCCTTCAGAGGTCTTTACCAAAATCAGAGACGTATGATAGTGACGACTCAGGTGACGAGCTTCTCTCATCCATCAATAGACAGTTAGGTCTACAGCAATCAGATGACTGAAACATATTTGTTGTGGTAATTTATTTTACCTACAAACTTTGCGTTATAGCCATAAACTTAAGGCCAACATTGACTATGTATACTATACTCATTATATACTTGACATATTGTCCCACTAAAGACTATCTGAAAGAAGTGGGAAATACTGTTGTTTTTACTTTACTTTACATGCACCAAAGATGTGTACGTTTTAATTGTGATCTGTGTCGTGCTATTAGCAATTTTCATATTCATTAGGCACACTTGTTGTTTTGCATCTGATGTACATACCTAATTGTTATCTTGTAGGCCTTTCTACTCTGAATATTGTAGGGGAGAGCTTTAATGACCATATCCTGTCACAAAGACCCTTCATATTTCCTGAATCCTAGGTTCTTGAATGTATGTTCATATATACTGTACCTTACCATTTTCTATTTGTTCAAAATTAACTGCATCTCTTTGGGAGTCACTTATCTTATTCCTTTATTAGCATATCAAGTAATTCAAACAATGCAACTTGTATCTCTCTTATTGTGTATGCATCTGCAGAACTGAACAATTTATGATATGGTGAGACAGGTGGCTCATAAAGTTGAGCATTTCTTTTTGTTTAATAGGCAATCCGCTTTCCCTCTCAAATGCTCTTGACTAAAGTAGAATGGGTTGCCTGTCCAAGAAAAAGAAGGGCAGACCTTACAAATTTAATTTTAAAAGAAGTCACACTGGAATTACATTCCTTCTCTATTTTATTTGTGAATCAGAGTGGTTTTGTATTCCAGGTAGAGTAATTATTTTATCTACTGTAAAGAATAGCCAATATTTTGTTGAAATGCTGTTGGGGAAACTGTACTAAGTTGTATTCGGATACAAATGCCTTTTTTGGCTTGCTTGGTAAGCAAAGTCATAAGATGTCTATTGTAATAAAATGTAGGGATTTTCTTTTCTTTCCTCTAGTTTACTGACATTTTGTGTGACAACTTTGTGTATAGGATTTAAATTAATGGCATATCTAATTATGACTGCTGTATCTCTTTAGTGAACTTCTGTCTTATCAAATTGGTGTATGTGTCTTGTGAGAATGGTACCTAATCTAATATTTTTTATTTTATAAAAGAAAAAATGAATCATAAAAAAAAACAATGTTGTTTTAGTGATATATTACATCAATTTATTAGAACTGTATGTATCATATGTTATCTAGCTTACTGTTTCTTTGTAGTCACATTGAGTTGAGATGCATTTATTGTGTTGATGTATGATACTGATACTTTACCATGTGTTGTTGGTTTATTGGTACTATGTACTTTATATCTAGGTAACGTCTTCTCAAATTCCATGCTTACGGCCTTGTTCAGAGCTTAAACGTTGGAGGATGAAATAGTAGGTCCACTAAACAGTTTTTGTTTCAATGGTCTGGCCTGTTTTTAACTCATTTCTGAAGTAAATATTTTTTATTTGACATATGCGGTAATTTTTGAAAAAGAGCAGGTAAAAAGGAAAATAAGCCAGGAGCCAGTGCTGATATCACAGATATGCATTGAAATTCTCTTGAGGTATCAATGCGTTTGAAAACTTCTAATGAGAATCAGCTGAATAAAAAGTGAACTCTATTAAATTTCCATACTGGTTCGTGTCCTGATGTCCTCTTTATCTTCTCTGTTTTCTGAAAGGGTCCTCCCAGCTTTCAATATCAAAAAGCTGGTTTTGCTCCTGTAAATTACATGCATGCTATAATTTGATATAGCTCATTTACTGTTACATATTTGGTATTAGTAGTATCCTTAATTTTTCTCGAACTGAAGAGAAAATCTTCCAAATGTTGCCCATCTTACAGTGTGTGTGGTGGGTCAAAAATTATGATCTCAGGATGATTTTTTTTTTTTTTTTTTGGTGGGGGAGGATTTACTGCATGGTATGTAGGCGGGCTGTGATAGCTAGATTGAGGCCAGATTTCTTGTTTTGTGTAATTTACTTTGGTTTCATCTTCCCTGTGTTAGTTATCGAACAGCATTTATCAAGACTGTTGACTGAAATTGAATACCTAGTTTTCTCTTTGTATATCAGGGTACTTACCATGGGGGCGCCCCGTTTGTCCGAAGCCCGTTTGTCCGAAGTGAAATAATCTATTTTAGTAAATAATATAAGTAAAGTAGTTAGTTACATTATGTTATTTCATTTAGTGGCAGTTGTTGAAATAAGAGCTTAAACAGGTACAGATACCATCAAGAGGGCAAACGAGGTGCCCAAGAGCAGTTCCGGACCCGGAAAAGGGTAAGTGAAATAACTTTCGCTATTTCACTAACTTAACTAAGTTAATTAACTTATATTTGAATTAGTCTTGGTTCGCGCCACGCCGTCGAGCGGCTGTGGTGCCCCGCGACTCTCGGATCTGTTCGGCTCGGATCGGCCGGCCTTCGGTGTGTCAATGTCAAACACCTCAGTGGAACACCTATGTTCTTCTAATTCTGATTCCTATTGTTCTTATAAAAGCGTGATATAAGCCTGTCGGATCTGTTCGGCTCGGCTCGGGCGGCCTTCGGTGTGTCCATTTTAAACACCACAAAGGAACACCATCGCCTTTATGGGGCTTATATCACGCTTTTATAAGAACAATAGGAATCAGAATTAGAAGAACATAGGTGTTCCACTGAGGTGTTTGACATTGACACACCGAAGGCCGGCCGATCCGAGCCGAACAGATCCGAGAGTCGCGGGGCACCACAGCCGCTCGACGGCGTGGCGCGAACCAAGACTAATTCAAATATAAGTTAATTAACTTAGATAAGTTAAGTTAGTGAAATAGCGTAAGTTATTTCACTTACCCTTTTCCAGGCCCGGAACTGTAGTTAGGCGCTTCGTTAGTCCTCCTGATGGTATCTGTACCTGTTTTAGCTCTTATTTCAACAACTGCCACTAAATGAAATAACATAATGTAACTAACTACTTTACTTATTTTATTTACTAAAATAGATTATTTCACTTCGGACAAACGGGCTTCGGACAAACGGGCTCACCTCCTTACCATGTACTTCATGTAGATAGGAGATAGGAACAGCTCTGCAGTTATGCATTCACCTCTGCCTAAGTCAGCTTATTTGGAAAACATTCCTGCAAGAAAAAGTTGAATTACGCTATCATTCTAAAGCCCCAAAGCTCTTTTTTTTCTTTTTCCTGTAATTCTTGGGCGCAGTTTATGCTATGTTTACTTAGACATTCAACACAGTTTGTGGTCTTTCAAACTGCAAATTAGTTCTTGCTCCATCTTGGGTGTTCAGCCAGTTTCAATGCTCTGGACTCTTGCGACATTGAAAGTAGTTGCCTCTCTTCTTTTTTCAACCAATATGGTTGTATTATTTTTTTATGATGAATCTATTGTTATAATGCAAATCAAGGTGACTTGTGGCTAAGTCTATGTAAGAGAGTTGTTCTTTTTTTTTTTTCAGAAAAAAAAAATTCAGAAAAAATAAGAAAAAGGATAGATATTGTCTTGCATCTATGCGTTCTTGTATGGTTTTCTCAATGTTTGCACCAAACTTTTGATCACTAGTTTGTATTATGGTCTCAAACAATCGTTAATGATTATATATTGATCACTGTAAATAGTTTTATAAGAATATGATAATTTTATCCAGAATACCAACAAAGAATACCATTCTCTGTAAGTTGTGACTTGAATTGAGTCTACGTATCTGACTCTTCAAGCCTTTAGCTAAATTATCATGTTGCATCATTTTTTAGACCTGTCAGACTTCACTGTTTTTCAGGTCTTCTGGATAATTTTTAATGTGATTCCCAGACTTATAAGTCAAGTGGGGCTTAGCTGGACTTTTATGCCTCCTTACTCCTCCCCCTCCTCTTACCTGCAGATTACCTAAATTGCTTGTTTTTTATCAATTGTAATTTTTAAATGTTGGCTGCTGTATTTTTTGCTTTTTTTACTTTCAGTTCACTATAATTTCATTGCAGTCAACACATTAGTTCCATATTTTTAATCAAGTGGCCATTATATGTGATATGTTATGTTGAAAAGTGGTTTTGAAGAAACATTCTTGGATTAGCAGCCTAGCCAGCAAACATGAATGAGCACATTGTGCTGCTCTGATCTACAAACTGTGTACATAAATTTATTAATTGCACTTCTATTATTTTGTCTACTTCTGAACTGCTTCAGTTGCTGTATGGTGTATTGTATTGTTTATACTTTGAATTGTACTTAAATAATCATGTATGTTTATTCAAATTTGACCTAAAGTGGTAAATGTTTAACTGAACTTCTTAAGTGTCAATATGTATAATATGTATAGTATAATTAAACCAAGGACTGACTGAAAGCTTGCATTACCAAGGAAGTAAGGAAATGTAGATAGTATGTATGTTTGTGAAGGATTCGGTCCCCACTTGTAGTGTCCATATTATTTTTGATGCAGGCATGCCACGTCAAAATTAAATGAGTTGTGTCCTTGCAACATCTTTTCTTTAAAAAAAGTAGTAAAAGTTACTAAAAAAAATAAAAAAAATGACAGTGTTCTCTGACTGTCACGATTTTGTGCAGCATATTTCTCATTTATATTGACTGGCTTCTGTGCAGCTTCTAAGGTGATGCTAGCTCATTTCAGTGTCACCAATGAACTTATTACCATTTAGGATGTGATTTATTCTTCTGACGTCATGAAACTGGAACAATGTTTTTACAGCATGTTTTGCATGTATTTGCCCATTTCCTATATTTTATGTCTTGAGCAGTTCCATGAGTAAAATAATATACTTGTTTTGGCTCAATTTTATTTTATGAGCTTTCAGATTGACCCTTTGGTTTGATTACTTAAATTTTTATCTGTATTCTTGAACATGACAACAGTTGGTAAATGGAGCCTCTAGCTTTTGGTTTAACCCTTCATTTTCCTTTTCATTTGGTTCTCTTATTGTACCCAAGCAGTTTTGACTCAGTATGAAAATGCCAAGAGACATTTTCAAAACTTTCAGTAACTCTTTGTTCTTTGATATTTTGTTTCCTCAAAATTTCTGTGTTGTATATTGAAGTACATTGTTGCTTAATAAATAAAGTGGGTGTCATTTATGTTGAATCAACTTTATTGTGAAATGTAAGCCTACCTTACATACATCATGCATTACAATAAAAACTGAAAAAAAAAACATGTGTCAACTTTTTATTCTTTGCTTTTGAATTTGGAACTCCATTAGAAAAAAGCGAAAAAGCTTCCGTTATTTGCTTTTTTTTTTTTTTTTGCATGGCATTTGTGTTTGTTTTTTTACACAGCATCAAAATTTCTCATGTGACGTTGCAGGGATCCGAATGTGAATCTGTGAAACAGATTTTGCCTGTGCAGCACTAGCACCCCCTCCAACCAGACTAACGTACTGCAGCCGCGGGGACGATGGCTGCTACTTTTCAACAATTTGATCCCCCAAGCTCTGCGAGTTCCGACAGGTAGGTTCTAGTGGTTTTGAGGCCAAAATCATGACCCAGTCGATGACATTCCGTCTCGTATTCTTTCGGCGAGGGGCAATGCCCGTGGTCAGTGATGAGCTCTACGTGACGGGGGGATGGGGGTGAGTGCGCTGACCAGGCGGCGTGATGCACCATGCTTTCTGCTTGGCTTTGTTGTCGGATGGTGGGCCAAAACAATGGACCATCCAACCATTTGAAGCAAAGCCTGTAACAGCATTCGGTGACGTGACTCTCAAACTGGCTCCAAGTGCCTGAGTACTCTTTGAGATGTTGGTCTTGTGTTATTGCCAACAAGTCAAACTCGACGAGAACCCTCTGCTCTATGTACGTACATGTACAGTCGTGCAAGCACCAGCACACGTTAAAATGTGTTGACATTTATTTACGTTCTTTGTTTTTTGTACATGAATTGCTGCCAGTGGTTTGAGTTTGATCCAATGATGGTTAGCTCCCTGCCCTTACATTTGTATGTTCCTTCCCGTACCTCAACATATAGTCATCAGCTGATTAATCCAATTGTAAAGAATCAATACAAAGCCTTGACTACAGTACTGTACAGCCACCCACTTGAAAAGTTTCTTTTTTGTCTGTTTTTTTTTTTTCCCAGTGATCGCTGTGAAGATGATAGAGTGTTCTCTTCAGATATTGCCTGTGATGAAGATAATGATGTCATTGACATGTATGCTGTTCCTCAGTCACCACCACCTCCCTCTCCCAGGCCGCCATCAACTGGTTAGTGCAATACAAAACATTGGTCTCGTAAAAGCACAATATATAGAAAAGCCAACAATATTATTTTTTTTCACTTTGGTTGTGGTGGTGTCAAGGTAATTTAATTTTCTTAATATTGTACATTCTAGTAAATTTTGCTAATATTTTGAAGGATCACAAAAGTCTCCTCGTTCTCGGAGACAACGTACAACTTCGCTGTCTCAGTCAACCAAAAAGACCTGCACTGAATCTATTTTAAGGAGTCACACACGAACTATTTATACTGCTGGCCGACCACCATGGTATGACTCAACAGGGCAACAAGTTGAACCATTTGTAATTGGTGAGTATAATACATATTCAAAGATTAAGCATCCATTAAATTTTAATCATTCATCTTTTCATGTTAAACTGGCAGGCATTTGTGGTGGGAGTGCATCAGGCAAAACAACTGTTGCTGAGAAGATTATTGAATCTCTTGATGTTCCTTGGGTTACATTACTTAGTATGGATTCTTTTTACAAGGTAATGTGTCATTGTAATAGTCAGATTATAAGCCCCCATTTTTTCTTAAAAATTATTTTTTTAATTGAGCTGGCAATGCTCTCTAGAGCTAAGGATTTTCCTCACTCAAATTGAGTGAAAGTGTATGTGTGAGAGAATTTCTGACTATTATGGTACTTTCCCTAGAGAGTTATACTTCATCAGTTTATTTGATAACTCTGCTGTCTTATCTAAGTGCATCCTACCTTAAGTTATTGTTAGTGTCATATTTCAGGTTCTCAATGAGAAGCAACATGATCTAGCTGCCATAAATGAATACAACTTTGATCATCCTGACGCATTCGATTTTGAGTTATTGGCAGAAACTCTCCAGAGGCTCAAAGAGGGCAAAAAAGTCGAAGTTCCTATTTACAACTTTGTCACTCACTCACGAGAAAGTAGGACGGTCAGTGATCTCACAATTATCTTTTATTCTGTGTGTAATACTGGTATGTACTGATTGAGTGTGGACTCCATTTGCAGAAAACAATGTATGGTGCCAATGTCATTATATTTGAAGGTATTTTAACCTTTTACAATGCAGAGGTATTGAGGGTATGTATTGAAGGTTGTTGTTGGCAGTGGTTGTTATTTCAATCCAACCTCTTTAATACAATTTTTCCCCTTTTTTTAGATGTTAGATATGAAGTTGTTTGTAGATACAGATGCTGATGTGAGGTTAGCTAGGAGACTGCGTCGTGATATATCTCAACGAGGCAGAGATCTTGAGGGAGTTCTGAAACAGTATTGTAACATGGTGAAGCCTGCATTTCTTCACTATATTGCACCATCAATGGTTCATGCCGATATCATAGTACCTAGAGGCGGAGATAACACTGTAGCCATTGAGCTCATAGTTCATCATGTACATACACAGCTTCAAAAGGTAAATATCATAATATTACAATGAAAATAGATTCCAAAAAAACAAATTTTGTTTTCTGTGAATTTAAAGTCTTGTCTGATTAAAGTTTTCTCTGATTAATCAAGTTTTCTGTTTTATTTTTTGTTTTAGCGAGGTTTCAAGCTGAGAGAGAAACTTGCTCATTCTTATATTGGCCAGCCCTTACCAGATTCTTTGCATTTATTGCCATCCACTCCTCAAATTTGTGGCTTGCACACACTCATACGTAACAAAGAAACACCTCGAGATGAGTTTATATTTTACTCAAAACGACTGATTCGTCTTGTTATTGAATATGCCCTATCTTTACTTCCATTTAAGGTAATTTTTATCTTTCTGTGTTCTCCTTGTACTTATTTGTTGCTGTGTTTGTACATGTTCGTTTCTTATTTTAGTAACATAATTTTTTGTATTTGTATATAGGAGGTCATTGTAGAAACACCTCAGGGTGTACTTTATGAAGGCAAGAGATGTGCGAGTGAAAAAATTTGTGGTGTTTCAATATTGCGTGCTGGAGAGACGATGGAGCAAGCTGTTTGTGATGTCTGTAAAGATATACGGATTGGAAAGATTCTTATACAAACTAATTTTGACACGGGAGAGCCAGAGGTATATTACAGTTCAGAATATAATATTTGATACATTTATTGAGAAAGTGTTCGTGTTACTTATCCTCTGTCTATGACTTTCCAGCTGTACTATTTACGACTTCCTAAAGATATAAAAGACTATAAGGTAGTTTTGATGGATGCCACAGTAGCTACTGGAGCAGCAGCAATGATGGCTATCAGGGTTTTGCTTGATCATGAAGTGCTTGAAGAAAACATTATGGTTGTCTCATTGCTCATGGCTGAATCTGGTATGAATTCTATATCATACATGACTGAAGTTATATATAAGTGGCAGTTGGCAAACTGCACTCATTTGCTGGACTCTAATTAATATTAATAATTTTGTTTTCCAGGTGTTCACTCAATAGCTTATGCCTTCCCTAATGTGCAAATTGTTACATCTGCTTTGGACAAAGAGATAAATGAAAAGTTTTATGTATTGCCAGGTATTGGCAATTTTGGTGACCGATATTTCGGAACTGAACCTTCGGAAGAGTGTTGAGCAGGTCGTCCTATATTCGGAGGCAGATTTGTTTCCAGGATTGTAAGTGGCTGCCTCCAAATCTAAAGCCTTTTCATGTACCATTTGTGCTTCTAGTGACCAATCTGCTGTCTTTTTCACAGATTCTTGTGTCTCAGTAAAACTTATCAACATTGAACCTTTGCATAGCTATAGGTTGCGGAGGATTGTAGTGGGCTGTGATGATTGGAGGCAGCCTCTGTAAATTTTGAGCTAATCTAATCTATACTTTTTCTTGATCTATTTTTATTTTGCTCAATGGGTATGGAAATTTTGAGGTACTGAAGTCTTATATAGGTGCAGTATTTTTTATAATTGGTCAATTGCAATTGTTTTGTGGGTCCAAGGTCTTTTACCGTCCTATTGTCTCCTCATTTGCATTCATGGCCTGTCATGTCAGGAATATCTCTTTTGTTTTGATGATCCGCATGTGAGCATTGTTGTTATAATAGTGCTCTGAATCCCAAGAAAAAAAATCTCATTTGCTGTGATTGAAAAATCAATTACCGGTACTTTACTAATTTGACTCTTATATAATTGATTGTATTATGAAGGTGGTACAGGGATTGTTTCCTAGTCTTCATGTTGCGCTTCGCCCTCTTGATGAGTGCTATGAGCTTTTGTCCTTCAATAGCTTTAGTATTGAACAGCCCTAGATTTATTATTCTATTCTTTTGCTTTACTGTTTTTAATATGAGATTGTTTTATTTTTAAAAAACAACAACAACTTGAGATACAATGAAAATATTCTAATTTTTAGGTGCAGACAATTGATTCTATTTTTTTTTTTTTGTAAGTTAATATTTAATACCTTGTTTGCTTCAATTGTACTAATTATTTGTGTTGATTTTTACAAATAGATAAAGGTACAGTGACATAAGTCAAACTTAAGATCTTAGCATTTTAAAGTTTTACAAATCAAGTTTTGAGGAATTTTTCTATGGGGTTTACCAGTTGCAATTGTTCCCTTACAACGATTTCGTTGTCCTCCATTCAAGTCCGCCTCATAATTTTCCAAGTATGCCACAACATACTTGTTTTTGTCATTTGGAAAATGAAAGTCTTTGCTTGTCAAAGTTAGTAGCAAGTCAACACACCAGTGAGGAATGACTAGTCAAATTAGTCAAACTTGGAACCAAGTTCTGATTTGGCCCCAGCAGGTCCAATGATTTGTAATATTTTGAAAGTATTTTTGTCTTTTAGGAATGTATTTTTGGCTGAACATTGGTGGATGTAGTCTCGTGATGTGAGTACCAAGCTTTGGCTCAGACCCCAATGTCTTCTAAAATTTGTTCAAATTTGGTGACCCAGTCATAGTGATACCAGAAAGGAACGTAACCTTGCCTCACAAGACATGAGACTAAATCCACCATATAAGGTACAGTGCATATGGATTTAAACGTATGTTATTATTGTAAATGTATAAGATTTATTTTTGAAGTTGTTT